ATAAAAATGAATCGCTAAATGTGTTGCTAAGTGTAAAACTCCAAAACGGAAAAAAACAAAAAAAAAAAAAACTCTTCATAAGAACCTTCCTCGGACTTCAAACAATACTTTAAAAAAAATTATGGAAATTGATCCAACCGTTTTGGAGTTTTACACTTAGCAACACATTTAGCGATTCATTTTTATATATATATAGAAGTTAATAAGGGAAAGATCGAGCGCGAGACTTGACCGACTTTTTGTATAAAATTTTCCTTCATACTTCTCAAAAGTTTCCGCATTGAATATATTTTTATTAATATTCATAAAAGGAAATTTGGTGAATTGGAAATAAATAAATGGTAATTCCTAATTATAAAAGAAGGAAGAAATACGGATTGATTAATTCACAATTTCTATACATGGACAGTAGGTACATATTACGCAAGGCAGAAACCTATCCGATACATGAGTGAATACGAGAAAGCAGAATCAAGTTGTTTCAAATTGTTTCATCATATTATATAACAACATTCGTAGCCAATTGCTTACCTTCCGCTTTCGATATTTTGACATACCTACTGACCATTCTTATTATATTGACATTATTTTTCAATCTACTAATGGCCCAAATTTCGAATATTTAAAATTGCATATACGATTTCTTTGTTACCTGTCAATTTGTACTACATTTACGTTTAGACCTGTGACCCACGAAGCGCGGGCCTAAAGGGCGTCAAAATTTTAGGGTTGCGAAAATATAATGAACATCAAAATTTAATAGGCCAAAAATATTTCATCATTTTAGCTTCTTGTTTTTGCATATTTACGATATTTGTCTTTTATCAACTGTCTTTCATCGAATGTTGAAATCAATTTAAACACTAGTGGTGGGTCAAGGGCCGAACATTATATGTAGATTTTTTAACGCATGCCTTTTCGGGGGTTGATAATTTAATCCTTGTTAAGGAAGGCAAAACGGTTCTTAACCGATGTATGCTTTAAATTAGTTTTATTTTTAGAAAAAATTGTGTTTTCCGTGACATCAATCCAGTCCGAAGATATCGAACGGTCGAAAAGAAAAAATTTAAAATTCCGAATTTTTAAATTACCTACATTACTATAATGAAAAGAAAAATGAAGTTCTAGTTATAGCCCTTGCGAAAACGTTGGTAATAAGCAAAAGGGTGGGAAATTTTTATTTTCCTTTGTCATGGTTAAAATTCACAGCTGTTTTTCTCACTATTACGTCAACGAATGGAGCATGCCATTTTTTTGGCAAAGGTTTTATAACTAAACTCTTTCTTATTTTCAATCTCTTGCTATGTAAACGTCTATACTTTTTTCTTACTTAATAAAATAAAAAAACATTAAATTATTATTTTAATTATATTACTAAGTTTTGCAGTAACATGATATAACTCTCAGGGTAAGGGTGGTACTACAGCTTGCATTTTTTTAAATTAGTTTTACATGATCTTTGTCGTCCTTAGTTCCTCTCTCCTCTTGTCAGACTTTTTCTACTTTTTGTATTTCCATACAAAAGAAATGTACGTTCTATGTATTTTAGTGCAGAGAAGAAAGAAATTATAAATTTTTAAAAGTGATATACTTAACAACATATTTGATAAGATGCGACACTCGTTCTTGTGCGATATTTTTTATTGTGTAGTCCCCACAATGTGGAATAACAATGACTTGTAGCTTAGCGATGTAGTAATTGGAAAATTAGAGCTGTATTAAGGGTTGTAAAATTTAATTTATTACAAAAACGCAACCGACGTTTCGCTCCAACTCTTTCATTAATTCCAAAAACTGTGTGCAGTGCAAGAGGTGGATTTTGTGTATACGTAAATGCATTTTGTTGTTTTATATCACTATGGAATCACAAATTACACCGTTTTGGTATTTATTACTTTATTTATTCATTGTTTGGGGATATAATGGTGCATTTCTTTTATACAACAAGGTTTCAATAGATAATTTACTACATTGTATATACGTTTAAGTTTATTACGTTTATATTTTAAAAACGCTTGCACATTTTTTTTTAAATGTTATCTACCTTATTTATTTTAATTTTAATTATTAATAATTCTGAAATTCTTGGTATAAAGTCAGAGAAAGTACAAAAAAGAATCATTTATGTTTCCGGAAAGTGTGATATTTGTAAAATTTACAAAACTAAATTATTTTAATAAACTTCTTTAGGTATTATTAATCAATTTCACGGTGCGCTGTTCCAAATGAATTTAATATTTCGTGCTTCGACTTTAAAACATCATTTTTTTATATTTTTTTCAGACAACAGAAATTGGTTCTACAGAGCTTTCTGCACTGGCGGCGTCGCTTTTGATGACATCGATAACCCGGAAGACAATAAAGAAAACGGAATAATGGCTTTCTTCCGCGATTATTTTGCAGTCTTTTTAAATAATAGTTGCGTAAAAATAATAGTTATTGTTGTGTTTGGTTTATACCTGTTAGGAGCCGGTTATGGAGTGACCAAAATAGAAGAAGGGTTGGANCTTCATTATGCAGGGCAAATAATTTTCATTTACATATTCGTGTTCTAAGGTACTCTTCCGTCATTTCCATCATTTGACTGGACTAAAGCGAAAATGCATAATTTGATGACCGAAGCAAGATTAAGACCAAGACTGTCCCACTCTTGGTATTGGTCTTAGTCTTGCTCAAAAATTTCTAGTCTTGGTCTTCGTCTTGGTCTTGCTAATATAGTCACGGTTTTGGTCTTACGTGTTAAGCCTTGGTCTTGTGTGTTAAGTCTTGGTTTTGCTCAATCTGATCAGTTTTTTTAATAATTCTTTCAAGCACAAATAAATTTTCTATTTACCGACATAATGATTGTCTTGAATACTGGAATTTTCTATCATACATTCGAACTTCTCATAACTTTTAAAGAAAATTTGTATAGCTCCGCCGTGGCGTCATCGCAGTTTATATTTTCATCATTTTTTTATATTTTTTTCAGACAACAGAAATTGGTTCTACAGAGCTTTCTGCACTGGCGGCGTCGCTTTTGATGACATCGATAACCCGGAAGACAATAAAGAAAACGGAATAATGGCTTTCTTCCGCGATTATTTTGCAGTCTTTTTAAATAATAGTTGCGTAAAAATAATAGTTATTGTTGTGTTTGGTTTATACCTGTTAGGAGCCGGTTATGGAGTGACCAAAATAGAAGAAGGGTTGGAAAGAAGAAAAGTTGCAAAGAGTGATTCGTATGCAATCGAATTTTTCGATCGAGAAGACGATTATTTTAGAGAATTTCCATACAGGTAAATATCAGGATGTTTTGCAATATGAAACTGGAAGGTTTGAACGTATTTAATTCAATAAATGCATATATTAAAACCAACCAAATTGTAAATAAATAAATAAAAACAAAATTTAACAAAAATGCTAAAAATATTCATGCATACGTAATGTAATAAAGTTAAAGAACGTAGCTACCTACTTTTTTGACTAAAAAATATTATTAAAAAAACACGAAATCATTAATATGTCGTAGAAATAAAATATTGTATCTGTTAATTTATTAAGAATTGTTATACTCAAAAGCAGTAATTGTGAATTTATCCGTTTTTCCGAATGCTTTAAGGAATGAAAAGTTTCTGTATCTACAGAATTTTGTATGTTTACAATTAGAAATAAGATATTACATTTATGAAGGAAAAAACCAGATAATTTGTATTCTAATTTTTATTGTTTTTCTTTTGTCGAATTATTTTGTAAGCTAAAGTAATATGAATTCATTTTATAGGATTCAAGTTGTCGTTAGCGGAGAATACGATTACTGGGACCCAAAAATTCAAGAAGGAATCGAAAACTTGACCCAAACATTTGAGAACACCTCGTATATTTCTGGTGGTTTGTACACGGAATCCTGGTTGAGAAGTTTCATTCAATACGCCCGCGAAAACGAAGAATTTTTGAATACAACGATAAAAACGAAAGAAGGATTTATGAAAACACTGAAAGAGGTAAATAAATAGTACAAAACTTTTTTTAAGTACCCACTAGTGGTGGACGTTGNGTCGGAATGTCTCCTGAAGGCGAAACTGCGAAAGGTTTCTATGGACAACACGATGTTCCACTTCTCCAATGAGTTCCCAATGTTAAAACAGTTTTCTTCGAGAAAAAGGGTTCACCACTATATTCCCGAAAAAGTTCACAAATCTGTTCGAGAAAAGTTCACCACTAAATTCCCGAAAATATTCACTGATCGCCTTTTTTGAAATTACGGAAAAGACGATCCTACTGACTGCGCCAACTGATACGATAAAAGTTCCAACAAAAGAGTTTTTAAAAAGAACTTTATTTTACAATTACAAGATAATGATTATCAGGCCTAGTCTGAAGCTAGAATGATTTGAGTTTTCATAAAAGAATATAATATTGATAATTTGTCTACTAAGCATTTCTAAATTAAATAATAACCAGCTGCAGGTATGGGAAAATAGTGTCCTTGAAAAGAGTCGTCATATTTAGCATGTAACATATATACGTATTACAGGTATCATATTTTTAATTGATAAAAAATAATTTTAACTACTGTACTATACCTACACGTTGTCGCTAATTTAAATAAAAAAATGGTTTTTCTCATTTCTCTTTTAATAATATGAAATATTTAAAAAAGAAGATGAATAAATACGTCTGATAACAATTTATTATACTCTGGTCAGACCTAAACTTCAAAAAGTAAAAAATAGACCTATTACTTCTTTAAGAAAAGTAACCAAAACAACGTTGATCTATTAACGTTGAAACGTTAACTAGTTTATCAACTAGTTGACGTTAAAAAAAAAAAAACGGTTTCGTTTCGTTGTCGGTGAAAACGTAAACGACCCACCCCTAGTACCCACACAGAAGAAATTCATTTTTAATGTATTGTATGTGTTACTTCTGCCACTTAATTATTTTTTATTGACTAATAAATAATAGGTAATAAAATAATTCGAAGTGGTCTGTATTCTGTCGAAACTGCCAGACGCGGATCGCAATTTCGATCTTTTTGGATCTCATCAGCGCGTCGCAGACAGCTCAGACAGAACACAGACCAACTTTTACCTGTTGTCTTAACAGTGCGTTTTAGAAAATACTACGAATGGCGCGGTAAACGCCATCTGTAGTACGATGCTACATTTTAGGATTACGTATGCTCCAACAAAATCCAAAATAGATATATGGATATCTAATACTTGCTGAGACGAACCCCGGCGACGCGTCTGCCAGTTTCGACAGAATTCGAATTATTTTATTCGATTATGGTAACGTGCCTATCACGTTGAGGTTAGCTACGCCGGGATTCGTTTCAGCAAGTAGATATTCATATATTTAAATGGACCTTGTTGGAGCATACGTAATCCTAAAATGTAGCATCGTACTACAGATGGCGTTTACCGCGCCATTTGTAGTATTTTCTAAATAATAGGTAAGTAAATAAAATATATGTTTTTATGCTTTATTTACAGTTTTGGTTGGTTCCGTCCAGTTCTTTCTCTCTCGATGTGAAATTTAATGAGGTAGGCGATAAAATAATCGCCATGCGCTTCCTGATACAAGCAGTCAACATTTCCGGGACAGAACATGAAAGACAAATGGTTGGAGATCTTCGAAAAATTTCTAGAGAGTCAAATTTCAACGTCAGCGTCTTTCATCCATATTTTGTTTACTTTGATCAGGTATTTAAAAAAACACTGAACGTGTATTATAATTATTAACCTGATGAATATAAAGTTTGTTTTTTTCCTTTCAGTTTGAGTTAGTAAAGCCAATGTCGATACAGAATATGTTGGTGGGAGGTCTCGTTATGATGCTTGTCTCTTTCATCTTCATTCCAAACGTTCTCTGTTCAATTTGGGTGGCCCTCAGCATTATTTCGATAGAGACAGGAGTTGTAGGCTACATGGCACTTTGGAGCGTTAATTTGGATTCCATCTCAATGATCAACCTCATAATGTGCATAGGATTTAGTGTGGACTTCACTGCCCATATTTGCTACGCTTACATGTCTTCAGAATGCAAAAGACCAGCGGATAAAATGAAAGAAGCTTTATATGCATTGGGTCTTCCGATATTCCAAGGAGCGTTCAGCACAATTCTCGGAATGGCGATGCTTTTGTTCCCAGGGAGTTACATTTTTGACGTTTTCTTCAAAATGGTGTTCCTGGTCGTATTCTTCGGAGCTATGCACGGACTTTTCCTTCTGCCAGTTCTCTTGTCACTCTTTGGACCTGGATCATGCACCAATCATGACAAAGAGGAAAAGGAAATGCAGTTATCGTCAGTGGAGAAATCGTTTCCTCATCCTTATTGTATCCCTCATCCCCAATTCACGTTGAATGGGACCCATTTGGGAAGCACGTTCAAACAGCATCAGATCATGAACATGGAAAAGCCACCCAATAAACATTTTTTAGACATTGAAAGAGACCTGGGATTGGGAACGTCGGAAGAAAACTCGAGCGAGTCCGGCTCAAATCAATCAAATAAACAAGTGGTTGACAACGACACTCTCCAGAAAAGAGACAAGAGCAACTGGAAAGAAAATTTTCATTTGGCAACGAGAAATAACGATTTCCAAACGCCAAGAACACCAATAGATTTATTCGGCGCCCCGAGCGAAAAAGACTGCCAGAATATTTCTTACACACGGAGACGTTCCATCGAAAATTGGGAAGCAGCGGAAGAAAGTTCGCCAGATTATAGTGCGAGTAACAACAGGAAGTACATCCCCCAAGAGAGACAAAGATCGAATCAGCGGAGACGACCTCTAGGAAGATCTTATTCCCATCATCACCTCCAATATCCCAAGTATATCCAAGAACTTCGGTTTCCATAGTGTTGTGTTAAACAAGACAGAATTTTGATAGTTATAAAATAAAAACTTAGTGCATCCAAGACATTATCATCAGTTGATGATCTTTCTCTAGAAAAAATAGAAAAGTTTTTCAGTTGTGGGTAAACTCTTCGTAGTATTTCCCAGGCGAAAACTCACTTTTCCACTGCCGAAAATGAGAAGGTGATAAACATTAAAACAACTCGTAATGTACATATGAAAAAAGGGTGAAGTTATTGTTATGTATGCAGACGAAACGGGTTTTTTAAACAACTATTTGTATATCCTTATTTAAGGACAGGATTGATTTTCAGCGTGCAACGATGATAATGTTGTGAACAGAATTTATTTGCTCAATTAGACGAAGTATCAATCACCAAAGTGCTTTTGACGAAAACGAACGCGAAATACGTTTATGAGACGCTGAAACTATTTTTTAATAAAAATAACAATTTCTTTGAAAATATTTACAATAAACGGTTTGACGACAGTGTTTTTTTTTTATTATTGCAACTCCTTAAGTTTTTATTATGATAACTAATCTTTTACTTAATGAATTATTTGACTATTTCTCACACAGGAATTTCATTTTTAAAATTCTAAACTAATTAATTATTAAAAGCAACAGGAGTGTGTATAACTTTTCAAAGAGAATTAAAAAAAGAAAAAATAACAAAAGATAACCTAATATATATTGCAAAATTTTGGAAATATTGATTAATAAAAATCTCATGGGATCAATAAAATCGAGAGAAAATAAACTTAATTCTTCATAGTAGTCTTATTCAAAATAGAAATGGGTAAGCCTCTTTTTTATTGATAACTCTTCATAATAATAAATATTTATTAGGACTATTCTTTTTTCGAAATATTAATTAATTAGCATTTCCCTGACTACATATTCCTTAAGTGTATAAAAGAATAATTACTAGTTGCTATTATACATTATTTTTATTCAATATTTCTCATATGTTGATTTGAATAACCTCTTTTATGAAAACCATAAAAACAAACAATAAAACTTGATAATTTGGCAAAACAAATGCCATTGAGTGCGTATTTAGATCGTTTTTTTTTTTTTTTAATAAATTAATCGAAAAAGTAAAATTTAAGTTCTTTTCACTCAAAATAATCCATAGGTAGCCAAATTTTGGTGAAGGCGCCGGACACGTTACGAAATCAAACTTGTAACGTAACTTCGAAAATCGAAAATTTGTATTAGGAGAGCATAAGAGTCTTGGGAAATATGACTAATTACCGCGCAAAATTTAGTGTTATTATTATTGCTGCTTAAAGTTTAGTAGCTATTTGATAGACATCTGTAATAAAGTTGAAACCTGTAACCTAGATACTGTAATTATATTTGACTATCGGCCGTGAGATGTCACCTTAAGTGCGTAAAATACGAAGGACATCCTATAATTCTTAACTGTAATATAAGAGATAATCGGAAAGTTTTAACAAAAAATGCTTAATTTTTGTAAAAATTAGTTCACTGTATTAATGGGTCGATTAAGAATGTTATTTGTTTACAAATGAATTTATTGTTTGAAATTAAATGCCCTAAAAAATACTTTAATACATTTTGGTACTTCCAGCTCGATTAGTAAGGGACAAATTAATTTATTGAAAAATATATACCGCTTATTCAACTAAAACAAAGTTATCTTCACATACATTAAAAACACCAACAAATTTCTACCTTCTTTCATTGATATAATAAGCAACAAAAAAAATCAAGAAAAACAGTTCTTCATATTAACTAAATCATATTCACGTTCGTATATTTTTGATAAAAAGAATATATAAACAACAAACATTGTTTGACTTATAAACATAATCAATAACAAAAATTCATAACATTTCCTTTCTACTTTTTATGATTAAACCCTTTTCCCTATAATTCTTTCTTGTTATATCCTTTCACTATCTCTTCTTTCCCTTCCTTTTTTCAAGATTTTTTTTAAAATATCTACTCAATCTCCCTTTACACGTATCATCTCAGTGCACTTCAATCTTCCCACATCCTTTCTCTTATCTCTTCTGCATATTTTGAACATTGAATTTTTCTCAGATCTTCTCTTTTTATTTCTCTACATCTATTCTTTATTATATTACTTACATTCAATCCCTTGTTTTTCCATTTAATTAGTTGTTCCTTAGTGATTCTCATTTCCTCTATAGCCCCCAGTCATATCTATATCTTATACATATAGATTTTGACTAAAATAAAAACACAAAAAACAATAAAATTCGTTAATTTGACAAAATTAAGCAAACAAGTGCGTATTTAGATGGTTTTTGAATTAATTAATCTAAAAAATGTCAACCAAAATCATAGAAGGTTGTGAAAGTTTAGAGAGGCGCCAAACACGATACGAAATCAAACTTGTAGCGGAACTTCGAAAATTGAAAATTTATATTAGGAGAGCATAAGATGCTTGAGAAATTAGACGATTTGCCGGGCAAAATTTAGTGTTATTATTATTGCTGCGTAAACTTTAGTAGCTATCTGGTAGACATCTGTAATGCAGTTGAAACCTGTAACCTAATATAAATCATATTTAACTATCGACCGCGAGATGTCACTTTGGATAAGTGAAATACGAAGGACATCCTATAATTCATTAACTGTAATATAAGAGATAATCGAAAAGTTTTAACAGGAAATACCGATTATGGATCGTAACGAATTCAATTAATTTAATTTATCATCAATGTAACAATAATAATTCTTATTCTTTTTGCTACAATGTGAGTGCAGTGGTAAGTCATTATGACATTCCCCTAAAGGGTGTAAGAAGCAGTGAAGTACCTAACACTGTGCCCGTTCCTTAAAAATGTGGTTCTTCTGAATTGGGATAAATGTAAGGGAAGGTGAATTTAAGTACTCTGTATCTTACGGGTTATTTGACAGAGATACCTATAATCAGCCACTTAAAGGAAATTTATTTAACTCTTCTATGTTAAATAAAGCCAATGGAAATGTGATTACACAGAATACTTTATTATTACATAACTGTACAAATAATAATTACTGTTTAGTAAAATAACCTAAAAAGAGATACTTCTTCACAATATAATAGTACTGATAATAATGACTACATATTATATATATAAATACGTTAATATAGAAAATTACTTTGTTGTTAACATTCATGCTTAAACTAAAATTATTAGTCACAGTCTTCAGTTATAAACAATTTTGTCAAATACTCATGGAATGTTTTCCATGTAACGGAACGGGGCATTTTTTCTATGATCGTTCCAATCAGTCTTTTTAGCACGTTTTGGCTGTTATGGGATTCAGACAATTTTTTAATCGCGAGAACAACAAACTGTTCAAGGTTCTCCTCCGTCGTCCCGTTAATAAGCCTTTCTATTTCATCATATTGATCCTTTGATTCCTGAGGAAAAAGTAGATATAGCCTTTTAAAAAACATTTATTTATGAAAAAAATTAAAATATCATTTCAAAAGGAATGTTAGCGAAATCACTGAAGAACGTGCTGTTTTTTAAAAAATATGCTAATTACAGATTTCAGCTACAAAAGGACTTTGTAAATATCACCAAATAATTCCTTTCAGTTTTATAACATATATCTCATATGTGTACATATTTATAATTACTTTAAGAGTAATTTATTTCAAGTGTTCTTTAGCAAGAAATTATTTTGGTTTGAAGCCAAATAGTAATTTTCTCTATTTTTCATGAATCGACTTTTTATCTAATAACAAAAAAAAACAACTCGCTTAATAATGATTACCTACCAAACAATGTGGTTGATTTTGATTCGTATCTTCACTTGCAAGTGACGATGACGATGGGGTGCTTAATACATTCGGTTCACCATTTATTAAAACAGTCGTAGTATTTAAATCAGTTTCTTCTAACAGAGTTATATTTCCTGATGAAATTGATTCCTCTATTTTGTCACTATCCAAGACATGTTCAATATTGTCATTAATAATTTCATTTATTAGTTCGCTTTTCTTAGCCTCCTTAAATTCAAAAAGAGCCCGTTTTACCTCAGCCATTTTGGGTTGGTCTAGAGTCAAACTATTTATTTTCTTTTCGGTTAAAAGTGCTAAATCTGCGATAGTATGAATATTTTTTTTATTCAACTCTTCTAAAAGTGCCGATTTACACAAGGGAGTATTCAACTTATTTGAAATAACTTCCACATTTTCTAAACAATCGGTTAAATCAGGACAAATTGGCACAACGTCGTCAAGAAAACTAATATCCTCTGAAAATTGTATGTTCATGTTGCCTTCGACTGTATAGTCATTGATAATGACTTTGTCACACTCCTGTGTCATTTCTGTGTCTACTATTTCTTTCGATGATGATTCAGATGGAAGTTCGTGACTTGTAGATTTACAGCCTTCTTCTTCAGTAGCTCTTACAGAATTGTGGTCATTTTCGGAAGATATAATTATATCTACTTCTTTAGTTGGAAGTTTTGTGGTCAGAAGGAGATTCTTTTTGATCCCTCGATGTCTATTTACTAACTCATCCTGATGTTGGATGAAGACCTTCTTGCAAGTTGTTGGTGGGTCACTAAAATTGACTCGTTTTCTCTGAAATCAATATTATGTAAACTAATAAAGAACATTAAGTATCAGTAATTAATTAATTAACATTAATTCTCATCAGCGCGTCATAAGCAATTTCGATAAATCACCGAAAAATAAAGGCACGTTAACATGATATAATGTTATTGGGAGTATATTATTATTATCTATTATCTATTAGCATTTACTGCCAACTGCAATATATCAAAAATAAACAATAGTATTGTAACTCAACTAACTTTTGCTGATTGAAGATTATCGTCTGATAAATAGCCGTTAACATCCCTCTTCCGCTTCAAAATGCTTCCCTTGGGTGTTGCCAGGGGACTCGGTATTTCTCTACTGAACTGCAGTAATTGATTATCCGGAATTTTTTCTTTCACTTCATCGTCTAAGTCTATTATAAATAGCGGTCTTTGATCTTCGCAATTTTGCATCATTTTACGAACTCTGCTTGTTTTTGGCGAAAAAACTGTAGAGGCCGTTTTAAAACTAACAGCATCCGACTTTCTTTTGAGAGAAGAGTTCATATGCGGAGACTTTTCATTGACTAAATTTGTAGTAGTAACGAGGCCAACAAGCCTGGCTGAACGTGATGACGGTTGCTGTTGAGAAACCATTTTCGACTTATTTTCATTATCAACTAGTTTAGCGTCTTCTTCTAGATGTTGCTGTAGGTTTGCTGCACAACCTTTTTGGTCATCTGCTTCGGAGTCGAATAAACTTGGTGTTTTTTCGTCTTTCTCTGGTTCCATTACATCGTCCTCTTTTGTACAACTAACAATTTCTTCATTTTGTGTTTCAATTGCATGTTCATAAGATGCTTCTGGTGTTTCAGAACATGTTTTAAAATCATCCAAATTGTCTACCGGTAGTGATTCTGTGTCAGCTTCAGCTATTTCTATTTCGCGTTTAGTAAGTTTCCTTTCAATTTGATCCAAATCCTTTCGTATTAGTTTATCTGGACTGAAATCTTCGGAAATAACAATTGTATCGCTTTTCTGTTCTTCTATTTCTTTTAATTTTTCATTAGCACCACATTCCACAATTTGAACTGTTTGTGACTCCAGTGATTTTTCCTTAAATTGAAATTGCTGAATTCTTTTATCGGTGCCAGTTTGTTGATTATTGCAGCTAATTGTGCAAATCGAATCGGTGTAAGGTGACTCAACATCACCATCAACGACCGAATCGACGGCAGAGGTGAAGGTATTTTTAGTAATTTGATTTGGGTTAGGAGATGTTTTACAAAGAGATTTTCCAAATGATATATACGATTCCTGAGAACTTTCGATAATATCTTCACTGCAATAATCTGAATTCTCATTCCTTAATGAACTGTGAATATCACTAGATGAGTTGCTGCAACTAATGTATTCTTTCGTTTCAGAGTTAGATCTACTTCTTCGATTTAAGTTGTTCTTAATCACAAGTGCTTTGTCGTTATCGTGAGTTAAAGACTGGGATCGTTTTTTTCTGCATTTCCTTTTAGGTGGCTCTTTGCCGCTTGAGTTATTAGAGTTAACAGTATTTGTTTCTACATAATGTCTTTTCGTTTTTCCAACATTCTTACTGGTCTTTTGAATTTTCTTCTTTTTACTTTTCGGAGTTTCTGCGGATTCACGTTTGTCAAATTGAAAAATAAATGGCGAAGTGGTTTTATCGAGTTGCTTTGAATTTCGTCTACTTTTTCTCTCTTCGTTTACATCAATATTGATATCACCTCCAACAATGTCCATTTTTAATCTTAATAGTTCATTAGTTATCCTTTTATTTCTTTTTACAGATTCCACGTTTTCTTCGCCACTTTTTTCCGCTGCTAATGATTCTGCTGGCTTATTTGTTTCTTTTTCTAAACTCGTGCCAATAAAAATATCTTCAGTTGAAGTAATGGCAGGTTTAGCATTTTCTTTAATTTTTTGTTCAGTTTTATTCGTTTCGTTAATTACTAAATTGATTTGCTGCATATCATCATACGAAGTGTTTTCTTTACATTTATTGACTTCATGGTTTGCACTACTACAGTTTCTATTACTATCGTCAGTGAAATCGTTGCATTCTACGTAAGGCATTCTCTCCACAATTACTTTTAAATCCTTGCCAATGGCATCCTCTTGAGAGTTACTTTGCGAGTTACTTGTACTGCCCGTTTGACTTTGGGATAGATCCTGGTAAAGTGCGGGGATGTCTTCTCGACGTTTTTTCATCTTTTCTTTTTGATGCTCTGTCAGCTTTCTTTTATCAAATTTGTAATTATTTTCTATTAAGACATACGTTTCTTTTTTATCAGCACGAGATGGTAATTTTTTAGTAGTAGATGAACGAAAAGGTGTTGTTGTGGACGCTGTTGATGATTTTGGAGAATTTTTCAATTGGCTCCCTTTCAGCTTCATGGGAGTGGTGTTTTTTTCGAGGAGCTGTTGTATCACTCGTGTGTTTTCAATGAAAGTAGGTTTCGTGGACTTCTGCACTATATTTTTAGCTGACGATCTAGATAACAAAGAATTCGAATTTTCTATAAAATTTTCGCTGCTTGACTTTAATGTGTCCTCATTGGTTGAATTTTCTAAGAGCGACAATATTTTAATAGCATTTCGGGATATTTCCGAGTCTTTATGAAGTGTGAGGTCACTTATCAAAGACTTAAGAGCAAGAGGTACTCTTTCTCTAGAAATGCAATTTTTACTCAATATATTCTCAAGTTTGTCCNAATAAAAATGGTTACTTGATAATCTGTCATAAATTCCAAATAAAATTCAATTTTTAAAGAATCATTTTATTAACATCCTTTCTGCTTACTTGATGCGGTTGTAAAAAATACTCGATCGCTTTAAACAATTTTTCGTAAATCAGATCAGCTTTTCCATTTGGATGTCTTAGAACGTTGTTAATACACACTGTAAGTATTAGCGCCAATTTGTTAATATTTTCTTTTGATGTTAAGGGACAATCGAGTAAATCCAGTACCAACTGTAGTAAATCTGAAACTAAAAGCAAACGTTGCAAGTAGGTGATGTTATGTACACAAGCGTTTATTTTTGTAACATACTAAATAGTGGGTCCAAGTCATCGTCTTTAAGAGAATCAAGGGATAATAAAGGTAAGAAAAATGATACTGAGTTGATGACTAACGGCTTCTTCTTTATAATCTTTTGAAATGAATGAATTATCGATGTTAGAAAATTGTGGTGGTTTTTGTGAACCAACGCATTACTTTTGCAAATGTCTTCCATCAACCTTTTCCATGTACTTATTATGTTCTGAAATGAAATACACAAAAAATTGAAGTAAAGTGGTAAAAAATTTAACTTACTAGTTTAAGAAATGAAATTATAAAATTGTATGAATGATATTCCCCGCAACAGTATTAATATTTGCACTTATACATTCCCAAACGATTTGTTTAAAGGTAAACGCTTTTAAACGTTTTGTGGAATTTTGAGTTTTAGTGTTTTATTTAATCACAATTTAACCATATATAACCATCAGGTTCAACTTAACACAAAAAAACAACATCAACGGCAGTTGGTCCATGCCCTCCCGACTCCTATATTTAATTAACTAAGGAACAACGACAACACTTCTTACCTGTTTTTCGTCTTCTGGAATGTAATTGTAATTATTTACTGGCCAAAGCATGTATGACAACAAATATCCAGAGAACACTTCGTTAATTGGACAAGTACGACATAAATCAGGCACGAAATGACTTAATGTGATCCACAAAGGATAAGATAATTTTACTTTCTCAATTTCCGTAATTAAATCACAAAAATCCCCGAACATTCGCACTTTAATAAAATTTCTTTTCGAAGAAAATGCTGCATCCATCGATTGTCGTAGCCTAAACAATAAAAAAAATTATGTGCATCGCAACATTTTGGGTAAAATATAAATAACAAATTTTGAAAATATTCAACAATTGGAGGCGTTTGCAATATTATATAAACATACTTTATTACATAGAGGGAAGAATTTGTAACCAGAGAGGGGGTTTCAAATTAAGTTTGTACATGCAAAGCGATAAACTGAAAACAAAGAAAAGGGACGGTTAGAAGGTCAAAAATTGCATTTCGAAAAACAAATAAAAAATAAGTAGCATTTCAAGGGATGTAGAAAAATCACACTACAAATAACTGGAGTTCAAAAAACTCCCCCACAGATACAGATGTTTAATCACAATCTTTTTATTATGCTAATTATGAATTACTTTTTAGGTAACTTGTGTGAAATTTGATAACAACGATAACTACTTTTTAACTGTTTGCTTTACCTTGTCGTATTGAATTTACCCGTTGCATTGAGATATTTTAAACTTGGAACCAGGACGGGTTTAAATAAACTATCGTTCGTATCTGTACATTCGAAGCTCATTATCGTATTTATTATTGGCATCAATATCCTATCTAAATAATCACTATCGTTATCAGCAACCTGAAATATGAAAAATTAGTTCATTCAATATTTATTTATGGTTTTGTCTCTAGAATTTACTATTTTTCTATTAAACTTAAATTTAACATCTAAACTAATAAGTTTTTATGTTAACATATTGTAAGTTTTCTTAAACTGTTATTAATTTGAAATTACTCCTTTAAATCTACGCAAAAATTAAGAAACTTACCTTTGATAAAGCCAAAACTTGATTGCTTACAACTTGAAGCACTTTTTCTTTTATATCCGAATTTAACTCATTAATGAAATTCAGTAACGATCCCCACATACAATGAATTACCTAAAGATAGAAAAAATTGTGGCATATAATAATATTTTTTCTTTCTTTTTCTCTTCTTAAAATAACGAGAGTACCTTACCCTAGAAAGCTCGGCTGCGTCACTATTCCATTTAGACAATATTATACAACATTCCCCAATACTATGAATTACAGGGGTGTAAATCGTCTGGAAATTAGAATTATTTAAAATTGGTTTCTTCAATTTTAATTCTTCTTCGTAATAAACGCAAGGATCATTCGAGTTGTGTCCATAATGGCCTTAAATAAAGTGTATCAATAGAAACATTTCAGTAAATCTATTAGTATTTCATAGATAAAGAGACTAAAAAATGTAACAAAAATTATCATTTAAAATCGAAATGGTTCTTAAAAAATTATTTTTAATTACTTTTTTATTATTTTCATGATACCAGTCACGCGGTGTAGTTTTTGGCGCCAAACGATGAAGTAGTAATTTAATGACGTTAATACCCTGCCACTATTTGAAACGGTAGAAACTATTACACTGATAAGGTATAGCTCTTCAATTTTTTAATCAATTAATTAAATTGGTTTCTCCTGTGAATATAACACAACACTACAAACTAATACACTTCAGTCCAAATCAATACCATTCCAATCGATGGTGCCTATTTATCTTATCATTAAAATTATTGACTTAAAAATTGATTAGATGCAGGTGAATACTGCAAACATACTTTTTCAAACAAAATCACTCTTCTTTAATTATTATGGTTCAGAAAAGTTGCCTTTATGAAGCGGGTTTGAAATAACATTATTCCAATTTTTATTTTTTATGTATTTGTATCTTCAATTTATGATGATTCATCAAAAAAAACTATAAATATGTTTATGAAACATTTTTTTAATATCGTTAATTTAGCAGTTATTAAGTAAGTATTGCACAAAGTGTCTGAAAAACCTTATTTTGAATCATTATTCATTTAACGGATATTTTTTAAAAATTAATGTTAAAAAAATAAAAAATTAAACTAATCATTTCCCATGCTTGTGGGATATCAGATCAATAATAAATAATTTTACTTACCCAGCATTTCTAGTAAAAATTTCGGGCTTTTTTTATAAAGTCGTACTACTTTTTTCCCTGGACTTGCAATCGCTGGATTATTTGTTGCTACCAAAGGACTTGCTCCTAAAGGTCCAAAGCAAAAGTTTAAGAAATGTTCAAGGCAAACTACAGCCTTATCACCGAGTTTCTTCAAGAGATATATCCATATTTCAAATCTTTTATTAATAACAGCTTCATTTGATGATAAATTAGCTTTCAGTGGAGTCACCAAAAGCTTAATATGTTTTGGCATAGTCATATGTGTTAAATTAAGACTATAATTGTTGATTAATTCCTGTCAAGAAAAGCAATAATATTTGTTAGTAAATTATTTATAACTATTTAAATATTTTACAAGAACTTTATGAAGGAATCTACTTATCAAACTGAATATACCAATAGAACATCTAACTTCTTAAGAGCAAGATCTTAATGCTCTTTATTAATTTGCTTTACATACCACATATTAAAATTCCTTTCAATGAAAACAGAAATAATAATAAAAATTAATAATTTTTCAACTGAAATCACCAGGCAGCAATTTTAATTTGGTTTGTATTGTATATACACTGTGTAGTAGATACAGTTTGACAAATGTTTGATGTACTACTGTTAGCAGCAAATATCAATAGTGATATAATGCATTTAACTTGATATTATGTATATCATTTTTAATTGTTTACCTTCCAACAATCAAAGGCAAAAAGTTTATTATCAATTGATGATGACTTAAAACCACTTTCTGCTATTTTTAAAATGGCATTTGTAATGTCAACACGTTGATGAAACATAATTCCCCCATACCTAAGTAATAGTATAAACATTTTATGCCAGTTTGGATGTTTCATTTTTCCAAGTACATTACGAATACTTAGAATGTATCTAAAATGCATACATTTTTATCTTGAATTTACTTAAAAAACTATTAAACTCACTCATTTTCAATAGCAGCCAAAAAATCTTTATATTTCTCTGGATCCAAATCAGCCAGTGTGTTAAATGAAGTAATACCCATTCCAATTTCTAATGCAGCATCTCGTAATTTTTCATTTTCAGTATGAAATATGAGTGGAAATAACTTATAACAAATAAAGTCTGCTGTTTCCGTTTTAGAAAGTCTTTTACACATTTCAATAAATAATGTAGTAATCTAAAATATTTCATTAATTGCTTGTTACATTTAAATAAACTAAAAAAACTTACTGCTTCTGTCTCATTGTAATAATTGCTTAACAGTTCTTCCAAACTAAAATTAGGTGCTTTGATGTAATCTTTTAATGCATATATCAAATTTTCTTTAGCCGTAGTACAACATTGAAATTGTTGTAATATTACATTCTTATCATTTACAAGTTTAATAAATCTATTAAATATCTCTGATCCAACTGTTACTTTACATAAATTAAGAATACTCCAAGCGGTTTCTCTTATTTCTTCATCAGAATCGTCCAGATCTTCTATTATTGTATAGAGATCTTGCTCTTCTAAAGCTTCATCGAGTCGTACACATTTTCTAACGAAACTGCTATTTTGTGTTGTAATTAACATTTTTAAAAAACGAATTTTATCATAAATATAAACTGTTACTTTTGTTAGATATACTTTTTCATTTGACACTTCAAGGGAGGTAGTAACAACAGAGAACGCTAAATTCAAAAATCGATTTTATTCAAGTCTTTTTTATTACAGGTACACAGNAATATTTATATTTAATGGAAACATAGTTCAATATCTAAAAAATCTTATGGTTATTTTTCAAAATATTTATAATAAACACTGAATTTTAAAATAAATCGTATTGTTCTGTTAACTGGAAATTTAGCCACTACTTTCATTTTTTAAAAATATGAAACATTGATTAGAGATGATATACCCTACTCTATGAATTTTATAGATAAGGATGAATATGAACCCTTTGTATATCTATTATCTAAGCTATTATCTATGATATTAGCTTCCTAACCTCACTTTTAACGCTATATTTGTTTTGATGTTTTGATAATTTTATGTAAAAAGAAAATGTTTTAAAGAAAACTTGAAACATTTATTAATTTTAGAAATAACAGAGCATTACAACTTACAATTTGCATGGCACAGTATGAAAATTCAAAAATGTCGAATATGAACAAAAAGACAGTAAGAAATAAAAAACCTTTTCCGTACTTGTTTACTAATGTGAATATACGTATTTGTAGCAGAAACGTAAAATTAATATAAATGACGAGCTGTTACTGAAGAAATTGAAAAAAATCAATGAAGAAAATGACGAAGTAGAAATAGCTGCTAATCCACAGTATAAAATCAGTGAACCAGAACACCCGTGGACTGATTATGAGCTGCTTGGGGAGTTTGAAAATCTTAATTATGTAATAGCAGAAAATATAGTAAAATTATTTGAAGAAGGAAATACCATCCCATTCATTGCTAGATACAGGCGAAATTTTACTGGAGATATAGCTATTGAAAAACTTAGAGATGTCAAAGAAACATATGACAAAATTTTAACTCTTAAAACTAAGGCTCAAACTGTTTTGAAAAGTCTTGAGAAAAGTGGCAAATTAAATGATACTTTACAGAGGAGTGTCCTTGCTGCAAAAACTGCAGAAGAATTGGAGCATGTTGTGAGTATTTATAGTTTTTTCTGTTTCATTGTGAATAAAGAGATTATACAAAGTACCGGAAGTATTTGTTTGCATTTTCTTTGGGAACATTTGCTATAGACTTTCTATCCTTCAGTTTATTTTTTTCTCTTGATTACTATTTTTAAGCTAAGAAAGCTTTTTCTATAGAGACCATTCTTTTATTTCAGTATGCTCCCTATAAACCTGGTGGAAAAAAAACATTAGTTGAAAAAGCAAAAATATTAGGCTTGGAAGAACCAGCTTTAAAATTATTGGAAAACACAGAACCAGTAAGTCTTTCAAAATATATTAACGAAGAAATAAAGGATTTAAGTACTGTTGAAGATGTAGAGAAGGGTGTAATGCATATAATTGCACACATAATGGCTACAGATACTGAAATATTGGATAAGCTTAGAAAAATGTAAGTTAACTTATTATTTACGAATTATTATATACAATGACATTTATTGCAGTGTAGAATGTTTTACTGCTGTTTATTTGTTGATTTATTTACTTTTTATTCTTTTATTTATTTTTTTCCTGCTTCTTAAATTTCTATAAAAATTGTCATTGTCTAGTATAAAAAATTTGGTCTTTACAGGAGATTGGAAAGTTACTTTCTGATTGAAACAAAAAAGAGTATTGCCAAAAAAAGTTCCAGTAAGGACCTAAAAAATACTAAATTAGAAGCTCAGCAGGATGATGATGAAAAAAAATACGAACTCTATTACGATTTTCAAACTAGCTCAAACTCCATTAAACCTCATCAGGTATCTGTATATTTCAGAATCCTGCAGTGCATGTATGACGGATATTTGTTTTTAAAGGTTTTAGCGATAAACAGGGGTGAATCTCAAAAAGCTCTCTCAGTTAAAGTAATCGTACCCGACTTTGTACACAAAAAATTCTTTAGTCTCTGTGTGGATCGCTTTTTGAAACGTGGGTGTTTCAATGACTCAAGAAAAAGAATTATAGAAGCGTCAATAGACGATGCGTATACTCGACTAAGTAAAAAACAGGCTATTTTTTAAAAATTTCTACTATGAAATAACGTTTGTTATGTTCCAGTTCATCCACTGATTGTTAGAGAAGTTCGATCAGAATTGAAATCAAAGGCAGAAAAAGCATCATTAGAAGTGTTTAGTTCTAATCTTAAACAAATATTGCTTGCCAAACCCATCAAAGGTAGACCAATATTAGGAATCGATCCAGGGTACAAATATGGATGCAAAATAGCGTTAATCTCTTCTACTGGAAATGTACTGAAAACTGATGTACTTTTTCCATTCAGAGATAAATCGGAAAAAAGCGCAGAAATCCTTAAAAAGCTGTTGAAAGCTTACAAGTATGTTGTAGCATAATCATTATAAGAGAACAAAAAAAATTAACAAATTTTTTCTTATATACACTTTTGTTTTTCGTGAATATGTGAAAAATGTAAAACTTTTTGTTATCTTACATTAATCAAATGAACTCGAGATATAAAATACTGATTCACTGCCTGAAAGATTATTTTATTTTTAGCTGCACGTTAATAGCTTTAGGAAATGGAACTGCTTGTAGAGAAACAGAAACCTGGCTCAGTGAGTTGATTAATAAAAACGTTTTCTCACCCTTAGAAGTGTTCTACACAATTGTAGATGAAAATGGGGCTTCAATTTATTCTTGCAGTCCAGAAGCAAGAAAAGAATTTCCTAATCTAGACCCAAACCTTATAAGTGCAGGTAAACTTCTAAGAACTGCATCTGTAAAAATAATATGTATTTATTTTCTTTTTCTGACAGTGTCTTTGGCACGGAGAGTTCAGGAACCGCTTGCAGAATTAGTAAAAGTTGAACCTAAACATTTAGGAGTGGGAATGTACCAGCACGATCTGTCTAAGAAACAACTTGAAGAAGCTCTGGATGAAGTTGTTACCGAATGTGTTAGCTTCGTTGGAGTCGACCTCAATACTGCGTCTCAGTGTTTATTGAGGTAAGTCATTAATAAAAAGGTAAATATTACTGTGTATGGGTGGATGTAACTTTATATTGCTTGGGGTATAAGGAAGGAAAATAATTGTAGTTCTAAAGTTTGTTTGTGCGTCTTCTATTTCGTTTCTTTTATTCTTCTCTTTAACAAGTTTAGTAAGTCCCGTAAGTGATTTTGTTCTAACAATTATTTTACATTAAGTAGAAACAGTTCAAGCAGCTTCCCTTACTTCATTATCAGAAATTATCCAGATCTTGTTGAGGCTTGTTACTTAGTTAAACTAGAACCTTCAAATTTGGAAAAAAATGAAAATCACGAATTTTAAATTGAAAACAGTCAAAAGTATCACTGATCATCAAAGAACATTAGTAGTTGAGCTAGGACCTACAAATCTGGAATAAAGGAATAATACATATTCAGGAAAAAATCTGACAATACTGAACTTTGTCTTTCTCCATTTATGATGCTTTTTCATTACCCTGAAAGGTTTTAAAAAAAAATACTACATATTACGTATTTATATACTTTATTTTAGTGTGTCTTTATTTTTATTAGAAAAATTGCTGGTCTTCATGCAAAAAGAGCAACAGCAATAGTTATTCATCGTGAGAAAAACGGTCCCTTTTTTAATCGTTCTCAGCTGAAAGAAGTTCCAGGTATTGGGCCAAAAACATTTGAACAGTGCGCAGGTTTTCTTCGCGTGGGACCTACAGATCCAAATAATGCAGACGATTTTTATAACAATTCAAGAACAACCAAATTAGATTGCACGTACATTCATCCCGAATCGTATAATCTTTGTAATAAACTTTTGGATATGTTGCATTTACGCGTATCTGATGTTGGAAAAGAGCATTTTATCGAAGCAATGCAACGCAAAAGAAATACTCTAAATGTATCGGAAATAAGCGAAGAACTAAAGTCGTCGAAAGAATCAATCGAATTGATAATCGATTGTCTTTGCAAACCGTTGAATTTCGACTTGAGATCTGAAATGGACAAGACACCGCTATTCAGAAAAAGTTTGACCAATATTTTAGACTTGAAAAGTGGATCAGTCTTAACCGGGAGAATTACGAATGTAACTCATTTTGGTTGTTTTGTTGATATTGGGGTGGGTACCAAAGGTCTTATCCACTCAAGCAAACAAAAAGGAATTCAGTTACAAATAGGTGATAAAGTGGAAGTCAAAGTTGTAAAAATTGAAATTGATAGAAAGCGCATAGGCCTAGAACTAAACAAAAAAATTTAATTTAATTCCAGAAAGTGTTTCTTAATTTATTCTTATTGTTGTACTAGTTTAAAGTAGGCACTAATTAATTATTTATAATTTAAATATAAATTTCAATATTTTTTAAAGTTTTATTTATTTCACAATACATAAATTCTTTGTGCTTAAGAAAGTCCATACGCAGAATTATCAAAAATTATCTAGGACATTTAAAAATAAAGGAATAATTAATCCAATAAAATGATTGTAAAACTAAAACAACAGGAAGATACGTTATGTTTTTATTATAATCGTTGTTACATCTTGAAATTATACAACATAACTAAAATACGTCTACTATAAATATGAAATGTTTACTGGTTTGTTTTTATCACAGGATGAAAATTGTACAGTAGGAGTAGGTAATATGAATAATTACCTTTTTTCAATAAACTAAACATACTTCACTGACCATATAAAAAGGATAAATAATTTGTTGCTCGGAAATGATTAGAAATGTTAAAGGCAACTTTTAATCTTAGAATCTACCTTTTTAAATACTTTTTAATGCACGAATCGAAAATTACGAAATTTTCTGTTTACAATATCATAAAAATGTTAGTAATTAATTAAGTTTTGGTTTTGATACGTATTATGCCTACAAAACATTACTACATGTACAACTACATATATACATTTCTATACATTATTTTATTACTATTTCTGCCCTCGTTTCGTTATTATTTATACTTAAACGTGAGTATATTTGCACTTAACAAATAATTAACTTATTACAAATTAAACTATAATCCCGTGTAATGACTGTCTGCAGTCATAGGAGTGTTTTTTCTGGAAGAGAAGACACTTCGTCTACCCTCATTTTTATTTTTGTCGTCATTAGTTTTATCTCTAAAACCAAAAAGTATATTATTACAAATGGAACAAAATAACGCTACAGTTTCACATTTCAGTATGTAGGAGGGTTTTAGATGTAAACATATCAGTGGCGACCATTGTGAGACTCACATGTTTTTGTATAGTGATAATACCAATACCCCTTGGTATTAAAATCAAAATACTACATGATCTTATTACGAAAAGTTTTTAGTACCACATTAAAAATCTTGCAAAATTTTGAATTATAAACTTACTTAAAAAATGGCAAATGTTGCTCAAGTAAATATCTGCTGTTGCAATGGGATAGTTCAGGCCAATGGGCCAAAACTTTTCTCAGATATGTTTGCAAACGCTTCCTGCGATTTTCAACCAATGTTGAGTCCTTCTTTCCTATGCTTTTCTTAGGGGGGAAATCAAATGTTGCTACTATTGGATCGACCTTTTTTAAATCGCAATGCAAGTTGTAGAATTGAGCATATCTCCGATAAATATTCCACTCGTCGTTTCCTGCTCTCAAAAATATCTGATAAACGTGATGAGCATCCGAACCACTTCCTAATAAAATGTATACAACAATTACTGAATTATTTCAGTTAGTTTTACAAAATGTATAACACCTACAAAAGTACCAACTGTCTTAAAAATATGTACAAATATTTATTTAAATTTAATATAAAAATAATATATGTTGACACTCAAAACATAAATATAAAAAATGTTCATCTGAACAAACTGTGGTACTATGTTTAGGGAAATGTTGTATGGTTGATTATTAAATAATTTTATCCCTGGTTTATTTAGATACTATTTTTTTGTCAAAAGCTTTTTTGATTTTTTGAAAATAGTACCTGTAAGAAATGCTGAAGGGATCCATACATTTACGCAGTTTCGAACTTCTTCCCCCAGCTCATCAGCAGGAACAGGTCCTCTTAATTCTTCCAATTCTCTCTTTAGGCGATCTAGCAAAGTATCTTTCTGGTTCAAAGAAGTTTGCAAACGAACATTAAAATCCATTAATTCCGCATGCATTTCAGCCACCTAAAATTATCAACATTGTTCAAATAATAATGATATTATTGAGGAATTATATACCTGAATTAATTTTTGTTCAAATAGTTTTGCTTCATTTTTGTAATCCGGTAAGTTCGTGGATTCTTCTGAAATCTTTAATTCTTTTATATCTTTTAAAATATTCCCATCAGTGTCATTGAGCATAATAGCACTGACATAATTTTTTAATTGTTCCTGTAACGTCTGTTTCTCTTTCGTCAGTGTCTCTATTTTGCTCTGCAATTTTTTAATCTCTTCTTTATTTTTATTTTCTACTGCAGTAAGGACTGCACTTATATCAGTGGGAACTTCTATAATGTTATCAGAAGTGTCCGGTGAGTCAATTTCGTTTCGTTCGACAGATATCGGAGTCAGTTCTCCAATATTTGTTTGTTCAACAGGTGTTAAAGTGCCATCAACAACATACTGCTCCGATGTTCTAATAGATTCTATGCTTACCCGGTGTTTGGGTTTCTCTTTTTGGGTGTGTGGGTCATTGTTTCTAATCTGAGATTCTTCAACGACTTCAGATTGACTTTCTGCCATTTTTATTACGGAATTAATTTCAGAAGACGTGAAACTTTCGCAGCTTGATGGAACACTTGTTGACACAGCACTGCTATCTTCCTCATCAAACAAAATAATTTGTTTTGCAACTTTTCGGTTTCTTCGATGACTTTTACCCACTTTCATTTTAAAAATATAATATCAAAAGTTAATGAAGTAATATTAATCAACTTAAAAAGAAGTATACTTTATATAGACAAAAAAAAAGTAAAATAAATACTAGAGTAAGTCGTTACTGATAAGTACTATACAATTAATAATAATAGTTTCGAAATAAATTCGATTTTTAAAAAGAATTTTAGTTTAAGTTGCATACCTGGCACAGGTACTTCAATTATTGGTTCACTCTTTTCTTTAACTCTTCTAATTGAAAGTTGAACACCACTGTTCAGATCAGGTTTGTTAATACTTATTGCAAACAAAATAGAACACAAGCCTAGCAATAAAAATTTGTTAATATAGTTTCAATAATATATGATTATTTGTGATAAACTACCTGCAGCCATATTTGGAAGTAAATTACTTTTTTCTTCATCTCGTAAAAGTGCTCCTTCACAGTAGTATTTTTTTAATAAATCCTTATCATTAACAAAGGAATAAAAATACCTACAATTATTATATTAGCTTACTAGCATTCTTCATTTAAGTTTTATATAATAATTATAATCCAATGATATTTATTGTTTTCATTACCTTTGACAAAAAATTAGAATATTAAATTAGGAAAAATTAGTTATATATACCTTTCCAAAGATCTTTCGTTCAAAGAAGACCTTAACCATGCCCTGCCTCTGCCACAATCTGTCCATATATGACTCAAAAATTCATACCTTTCTATTTCATGCTTTGTTAGATGCTTTTTCACAAACGGCCAGAATGCTGTTATAATAAATATATTTAATCGAAAGATAGCATTTTATGATCAATATAAAAGACTTACATATATTTTCATTAGTCAAATTGAGACTGCTGCTGATAATATCAGACACTTGTTTTAATGTTGATGTTTTTTCGATATCAACTGGTTTATTCTTTAGACCGTGTAAAAGGACAGCTTCTAAAGTAAGGCACAGAGAGACAACACAGCTATCAAAATCTGTGGCAAGTTCTGCTTTTCCACCAAAACGTCTCTGACACTGCTGAACACAATCTAACAACTGGTTAAATATTTTTGAAGAATCTTCTAGTTTTGTGGTGTCAGGTGCAGGAATGATAGCTGACATAACCTTAAAAGACTTAACAATAAATTAATTACGTTTTTACCAAAATAAATTGTTTTACAGTAATTTGTTCCAGTTTCTTTTTTCTTGTAAATACAGTTACTTACCATTACTCTCCAGAGAAAGTAACCTTACATACACTTTCTACATTTTTATTGCCTGCTGATTTTGAATTTGATCTATTGTATTGCTGAATAATGAGTTTTCTTATCCACCCCGTTGTTAAAACTATTTTAATTATCAACGAATTATCTCAGATATAAAGTTTCATTGTAATGATACACGTATTGTAATTATATTCATGATAACGATTATGACCACACGACTAAGTAATAATTACATTACCGTATGCATAATTGTCTTATTTTACTTTTCTGTTTTCTTTTTGCACTGTAGGCCACAAATGTTTTTATTCAAGGTTTTATTAAATAAGTTATTTTTTATGAGAACTTTACATCTGCATTTAATATAATCATATTTATTGATAAGGAAACTAAAATAATATGAAGAAACCGTTTTTTATTCATATCGTCCAGCAATAATTTGAATTTCTATAAAACTACTAATATTATAAAAGTTAAATTTACATTATCACGTTGTTAATATTAAAATAAGTGAAATTACTTTTACATATTTAAAAATACCGCTCTGAAAGTTCCTTATTTTGAGTAGATGTCGCTGTATGGAATTGATTTTGTCTTTTCACTGGTAGATGTCTGTAGCATCTATTTTTTCATAGAAATGGCCTGCATAATTATTTATTATTCGTAACTCTACCAGCAAAAGCAAAATGGCTGACCGCATGTTACAAAAGACGTCAGTCTATTTCGCAAACTGACAAATACCCAATCCAAATGATTTTTCCTTAGTTTTAGTTAGTTAATTATTTATTTATTGTTGTGTTGTGTGTTATTAAAGTGATAAAAAATGTCGGGCGAACGAGAGATTCCGGCAGAAGACAGTATTAAAGTGGTGTGCAGGTTTAGGCCTTTGAATGATTCAGAAGAAAAAGCAGGCTCAAAATTTATTGTCAAATTTCCGTCAGGACCTGAGGAAAACTGTATATCAATTGCGGTAAGTCTAGTAAAAAATCAAACAAAAGGTTGTAGACTTATAAATATACTTATTAGAAATTGTTTTAATAAAAACTTCTTTACGTCAATTCTGACAATTTTGTTTCACATGAGCGGTTCCTTTATAAGACGTACACATTTTCTAACGAAACTGCTATTTTGTGTTGTAATTAACATTTTTAAAAAACGAATTTTATCATAAATATAAACTGTTACTTTTGTTAGATATACTTTTTCATTTGACACTTCAAGGGAGGTAGTAACAACAGAGAACGCTAAATTCAAAAATCGATTTTATTCAAGTCTTTTTTATTACAGGTACACAGTAGAAGTAATTTACTAAATTTGTTGTTAATATAAGAAAATGATATACACAAACAATGATCATACACGTACCTACTTATGTATTTTTCCCTGTGTAGGTATTTAATTTTTTTTGTGTGGGTTGTGCTTCTTTTTTATTAAATAAGTGGGTACCATAATCAGTGAGCGCAGTATGGCTATATATATTTATTTATATATTTTAAAAAAAAACGATATGTTTTTTATCTATACAAAATGGCATGATTCGATAAGAATTAATCTTTCCATTAAATGTTTATTTTAAAGTCGTCATTTGATTAATTATATACGTTTGCAGAATGTATCGACTAAATTATTTCTAATTTGGAAAAAGGAAATTCCATTATTTTCTATTTTTATCGTTGCTTTATGCGACTGTTGCACGAAATCGATAAGCTGAACTCTGAAGCTGAACGTAGGTACAGAGTGGACCACATTTTTTTTCCTCTAAGAATTGCCTTAAATAATAAATGGTTAATGTACCTGCAGAATATGAACGATCAAAACAAAAGCTGCAATATGTATTCACTTGAAAACAAAAATTTTTGCTATGTATTGGGATCCGTCAAATGGGCATGCACCATCTGATGGCAAAATTTATAATTCGAATGAGGGAAAAATTTACATAGGAACTGTGCACGCAAATTGTAAAATTGTTTATTAAAATAATAAAACACATTAAAAAAGTAAAAATTTTTTTGATGATGGAGTCGACGAAGTTTTCTTCTAAAGTTAAATCAAATAAAAAGTTAATATGTTCGGTGAAAAGCTGCAATAGCACTTCAGACATAGATCTTCACTCTTCACCTACATTAACTACTTTCCAATAAAAACTAACCGTTTTATATATGTTATCCTCCCATTTGACGGATTCTAATTTAAGAAAAAGAAATCGTTAGGTGTTTGTTTATTTTTTTAAACCCTAATTATTGTTGTAAATATTACTTATCTTTATCGAAATCTTAATAATTTGGATTGTTTATTTTTATTTGAACATGAACAAAAAAATTAACAGAGTCGATTTAAGCAATTTATGAAAGATCCAATTAATTTATGAATAACATCCTATGTTCAGTTCAGCCTGTAAGTAAGAATTATGCACCTCACCTTTCGAAAAACGCGCGTTATAATAGATTTTTAATCGCGCTTTTTGTTACGTAACTATTTCGAACGATGACTTGCGTCTTTTATATTTCAATTTCAATCGAACGCCAATTTCGCTATACTTTATGATATGTTGAACTTATTGGTCGAGATACAATGATAGCGGATTGTAGTTTGCCGCAAGATTTCTTATACTAGAAAGAGCGAGGTTAAACAGGTTTTTGTCCAAGTTTAATCTACTTTAGTCTAAATTTGGTTAATGCTTCCGTCGACTATTATCTTAAGTATTAGTAATCTAAAGGTATTTGCTTTTAATCGTCTCAAAATCTTCATGGTCTTTGGTGTATCGGAAGACCAGATTGTGCTTTTTTCTGTGATGGACGTTTGTATATGATGCTTTTTTATTGTTATTTTTTGAAATACACAGGATGTTCTTGTTTTGAATATTTTTGTTTCCATTTGTAAAATTTCACAGGAGTTAAAACAGTTTTGAGTTTGTTTTGTACATATTTTACATTTATTCGCGTTATTACTCTATGGAATAGTCATTTTCTTTTAGGAAATTTGCGTTCAATTTACCTAATAAAGGTATTATTTAAACAGCCAAAAATTGTATATACAGGGTGGTTTATTATATTCAAATGATTTAAGGTAACTGCATCTATAAGGTCACTGCAATCATTACCCGGTTGTCACTTCAAAAAGTGGTTGCTTACGCACCTCTGCTCTAATTCTCCCTCCTCCTCCTATTCATCTTCCTCCACTTCCTCATTTCCTTTCCCTCTCCGCCTCTTCCCCCTCTGCCCCTCCCTCCTCTTAACTCTCCCATTTCTTCTTTTCACATCCTCTCCATCTTCCTCATTCTCTTTTTCCTCATCTTCCTCCACCTCTTCCTTTTCATCTTCCTCCACCTCTTCCTTCTCGTCTTCCTTTTCTTCTTCTTCCACCTCTTCCTTTTCATCTTCCTTTTAATCTTCCTCCTCATCTTTCTCCTCTTCTTCCTCCTCATCTTTCTCCTCTACCCTCTCTTCCTCCTCCTCCTCATCTTTCTCCTCTACCCTCCCTTCCTCCTCCTCCTCTTCAGCTTCCTTCTCTTTATTTTCCACCTCTTTCTCATTTTCATCCTCTTCCTCTTTTACTTCTCTTCCTCCTTTTTCTCCTCTTCCCCTTTTTCCTCTTCTTCCTCCCCTTTCTTCTCCTCTTTCTCCTTTTCCCCTTTCCCCTCCTGATCCTCCTCCTGAGCCAATATTCCCATTTCCCTAAAACTAGAGCATTTCACGTCTTTCTGTTTGCGAATCTTAATCTAATGTAAGCCTTACTCTGTCCCTCTTTACTCCTGTTTCTGCGTATACACCACATTTTCTCTTGTATATAAAAAGCTATTTTTGCCGAAGGCAATCTCCTAGAAGGGATGCAGTATACTTTCTTCCCAAGCCCGTTTTCTATTTTTTACCATATCCTGCCCCAAAAGTACTATTTTTCCTGATTTCAAGGAGAAAGAACTGTAACATAATATCCTAGGTATGAAATGAATGAATTTAAAATTTATTAACAAATTATTTTAACATTCTCTGCGTGACAATTACCACCCAAGTCGAAGGTTCAAAGGATTTTGAGGTTAAGGACAATTTTCAGAGAAACGGGAGAGACATTCATTATCAGACAGACGCCTTAAAAATATATATATTCCGCAAGTTCCCATAAGTTCCCATGTTCGGTGAACTTTTTGCCTTCCCTATATGATGGCTGAATCATCCTATTTTGTTGTCTAAAGTCTATATTTTCCTAATATTCTATTTTTCATTTACCTACCAGCAGGTAATGTTTTTAATAGTGTAATTCAATAGGTAATACAATTTTCTGCTTATTTCTTAGTTTAACAGTAATTATTATTTCCAGAATTCTTCCTTGTATTTCTTGTGATACTTTGTAATAAAATACTTTTGCAACGTTAAAGTCTATTAAAGAATTGAACTAAATGTCCAAATACCATAATGAGTTTTTCGTATTTTTTCTTTTTCCGAACATGTTAATGTTCCGTTGGTTTTCACGGTCGCTGGTTTCGGACTTATTAAGCATCTCATCAAACTGCTGAAGTACGTTACAGTGGGTTTTTTTAGTCGTTAACCGTTTCTCTGTGCCTGGTTCGTTATTTAAATCGACACAAAAGTCGTTTAAAGACAAATGTGAAGGAATTGTGTGAAAAAATTGTGGTAGAAAATATCAGGTTCGTAAGTAAACCAACCATAAGAATAATGGAAAATATTTTTTGTACTAAAAATATACAAACAAAACAAGTTATTGCATCGGCCGGTATGTAATAGAGTGTGCCAGGCAAGCGACCTACCACTGAACGGACTAGCCGCATATCAAAATGAGAATACGTATCAAAATAAAAGTTGATACATCAGGTACCAAGGGACTAGGAACAGTTATTATGGAAACGTTAACAATTCATTATCATCATAAGGTCGTCAGTCCTAAGACTGGTTGGACACGCACTTGCACTGTTTGCTATCCTGAGCTAATCTTCGCATTTCCCTAAAACTAGAACAACCCACATCCATAACTACAGTCAAAATCGGTTATAACGACACCGAAGGGATTACTCATATTTGGTCGTAAAAACCGATAGTCATAATAGCCGGTGACGTTGTTATTAAGTACTTAATACCTGTTATTGAATGTGTGATTAATATATTCATATGTAAAATAAAACTACATTTTATTTATTTTACATAAAACGTATTATAAAAAGACATTACGTACATATAATTATCATTTTTCTATATTAATAAAATCTGGAATTTTAGTCTATTTGGAACACTTCTGTCGTGCGTACAGACTTTGTAGTTCACGTTTAATTTTAATTAATGTATCATCATAATTTCCCTGCATATGAAACTGTTCATTAGAATAAAAAACAATTTTTCGTAATACACTGATAGCATTGAAACCATCATTCAAAGTAGGCACTGTAAATTGTTCTTCATAGTCTCTTCCTGTTTGTCATTTTCATCTTGAACTTCTTGTACAATATCATCTTCCGTAGCTGGTGCAATAAACTCCTTTGCTTCTATAGCAGATATTCTGAGAATTACACTAGACCCTAAATTCGACACGTTTTTGTTTACTTTTGCGATCTTAATGGTCATTTACTGTACCAGACGTGGATATTGTTACCTATTCAAATGTTTACAATACAACTGGTCGTTCTAACAGATATAATTCTCCGAAAATATCAGTTAAATGTAGTCGCTGAAAGAGATATGTCGTAATAAGCAATGTCGTAAAAACCAGTGTTTTTTATAAGACGGTCTAATAGAATTATGCCGGGACCTATGATTTTGGTCAATATAACAGGTATGTTGTTCTAAACGATGTCGTAGTAAACGGTTTTGACTGTATTTGCGAACAGTAATCTAATTTAGGTCTACCTCTATCCCTCCTAACTCCCGTTTCTACTTCTAATATGTCTCTGACTGGACCTTCATGCCTGAGAAGGTGTCCTACCAACCTATCTCGCCTATTTCTTATTAATTTCTATAGAGTCCT